AACATTCTTGAAATTGAAATGTTCTTATGAAAATGCAGAAACAATCACTAGATTGTATTTATCTATTACAAATCACAGATCTGTATTTATTGCAGAGAAAAATAGATAGAAATTGTGGGAACAATGGAGAAGGGAATCCCTTTGTTGGAGGTTGAAGGAGTTGATAAAGTGTTTCGAAAATCATGTTTTCTTTGTCATGAGTATAGCATGGTGGAATTTTTCTGCAGGTAGGAGAGCCCGACATGATGCTCAGTGAAATCTCATGAGGGGCCTATTTCTATGAATTCCAGAACCATCTCTATAATGCAATTACCAAACACTGAGAGAGCTTCCAGGAAAGAGCGATTTGGGGTCAGACTTGTCTCTGGGGTGAACACAGCTCTACCTCTGTTCTTTGTGTCCAGCATATTCAGGATAGAAAAAAGCTCATTCAGACATCCATGAATAGAGGAGTGAACTTCTATCATCTGAGGCCAACGGGCTGAAAACTTTCTGTCACAGGTTCCATATGTGAGTGGTGGAGAGATGGCAATAAGGGGAACTGTGTCCGTGAGGTCACTGTCACTGTGGCCCTTGGGTGGGGGACAGAAGAATTTTCAGCAGAAGTCCAGATTGCTGCAGGTGTCACTGGGAAGACTGAAGCAGTGACAGCCCCGTTCTGAGAGCACGCACAGATTTTGTCGCGTGTCCTCATGTACATTGAGCTCCGTGGGAGCATCAGTGAAGCTGCTGTCCCAGAATCAATCAACTGATCAGCCTTGGGGGCTGGCTGGATCCCAGAGATTGTTGGGGACTGAGCTGCCCATGGGGACAAAGAGTCTCCTTTGGATTCCCAAGCATCAGCCTTGTCCCAGGAGAGCAGGTGTTCAGAGCGTCTGCTGGTTGCACTTGTGACAGGACCCCAGTCACACTGGATGTTGCTGGTGTTTCCTGATGATGGAGATTCTGCCTCCTGGGATTCTGATCCTGGGAGTACTGGTTGAGTACATGTTGACCATGATTTCTGGAGACAAAGGGAAGCTGGGAAACTGAAGACTCTAGGACACTATACACTCAAAGGAGAGTTGTGTGTGTGTGTGTGTGTGTGTGTGCGTGTGTGTGTATGTGTG